TAAGCTACCGGATATATAACGTATTCCCGGCAAATTTATTGCGGGCGTTTAAAAAAAAAGCCCGGCGAAAAACCAAAAAATAAAAAACCAAAAATCGAAAAAAAAGAAAAGGATTGTTTTAAAGTAAAAGCTTTGTTAAAATATAAAAGGCCTTTGCGAAAACGAAAATATTTGGTTAAATGAATAGGTTACAACAAATCGAAAAATTTGTAAATCCCAAAAAAGGATATTACGAAAAAAATTGTTTAAACGTATAAAGCAAGCTTATTAAAAACGAATTTATAAAATAAGGAAAATACCGGACCTTAACGGGTAAATACCCGGAAAGGACGGGGGTATTATAAAAAAAAATAATAAAAGCCAAAAAAATGGCCCAAAAAAATGTTTTAACGTACCGAACCGGTTAGTTACCGGGGAAAAACGTAAAAAAACCCGTAAACGGTTTGTAATAACCGTAAAATATCGTACTTTATAAACAAAAAGTTAAATGGGAACGGTATAGTACGGAAAACGCTTTAAATTAATAGTGCGATACATTTAAATTTCGAAAAATATGCAAAGTGTAACATACTTTAAAAAGCCCGTAAAAAGCATATTTAGCGCAATACGCCAAAGCAATTACCGCACTTTAAACGTACGTTATAATAAAAAATACCATTGCTTGCTCGAAAAAAAAATGAAAAATTTTTTAAATGGTATAACGAACGGGCTTAAGCGTTTAGGTAACGGCAAATGCATATCGGCGGTATTTAAACCCATTAAAGGGGCAAAAAAAAGCATTTTAAAATTATTTATTAAAATATTAAAGCTTAATTGGTAAATATGGATACCGGAATTTTGCAATGCTGCAAAAATAATATAACGAAAGGAAATTATGGTTTTAATTGTAATAAATTAACGAAAAAAATTTAAAATTAACCACTTTTCGAAAAGGGGATATTAATAATTAATTAGGAAAATATGTAAAAAAAATCGATTAAATACCGTATTTAAAAAAACCAAAATTTCCGGAAATTACGTCCTTTTCGCTAGCGCTACAATTATTGCCGCCAAAATTGTTAGCGCCGAAAGCGGTACTTCCTAGCGCTAATACGAACGCCGCACCTTTACAGGGAGCCGCGCAATTGTAAGCTTGGGTATCCAAATGCGCCGCAATCGTAACAAAGCTAACGGCAATGCTACCAAAGAAAGCAACCATACCTTTTTCGAAACGTTTAAAAAACGCCTTTACCTTGTTAAAAGAATTACCGATGCTAGCTAAAGCTTAAACTTGCTTTTTCGTTTAAACGGCAATAGCGTAAAGTTATTGGAAAATGTTTTGGGTAGTTTTTAATGTTGTAGCGCTAGCAATTTTGCGCTGGATGCGCTTTTGGATAACGGTTTAACGTTCGTAGCGCGCAAATTGTTCGGCCAATATGGTATAAAAGGATTTGGCTTTTTAAATAATTTTGCGAGCGCGAAATTGGGCTTTGGTAAGTTTTTCGAAAAGCTTTGGTATCGCTTTAAACAATCGTTTGTAAACGGTATTTAAAATTTTGTAAAGGTTTTGGGCCATTTTTTAAAACCATTCGGGAAGCTTAACGCAAGCTTTGTATTAGGGGTTAATCGGTGCAAAAGCGGGTAATTACCGGGTTACGGGCCGGATACGGTGTTTCCTTTGTTAAACTTCCGTAAATTTCTTACCAAAAGTGCTATCGCTAACAAAAATTGTTCCTTTTTTAACCTTCCCCTTTTTTGTACCTTTTCGGGCACCCGGGGTCGATCTTTTAAATTTTCCGCGTTTTAAACGCTTTCGTGCAATTTAAACTTTACTTTATTTTTTAACTTCGCCATTATGCTTTAGCCGCAATACCGGTAATTTGCCGGCATATTCCCGGGGGGTTCGTGCCCGGCTAATTGCTAGCGCCCCTTTTTTTTTTTTGTTAAGCGGTTTCGCCCGTGCATTTAACGCTTTCCGTTTTTTGCCAAACGGTTTCGCCCGTATTTTTAACATATTGCCCTTTCCCAATACGGCTTATTTTAAGCCGTTTGTACCGCGCGTGCGACCCCGTAAGTAACCGGTAGCTTACGGTATCCCGTTAAACCGCCCCAATGCCCGGCAACGCTTAAAAAAACCGGTTATAAAGCTTTATAGCATTCGGAAAAATGGGTTCGTACCGGTATATAAAAGGCTTTTTTTCCCGTTTAAAATTACGAACCCTTTTTTTTCCTTTTTGTACACCCAATAATTATTTTAATAATTTTAACGATTGTAACCGTAAATAATCGGTATTTAACCGTTTTTTTAAATATTTGGACCTAACCGGTAGCTGCAAATGTTATTTTTTATACCTAATTACGTAAAAAAGGTAATATTTTTTCGGGTATTCGCTTTGGGTTTTTCGGTCCTAACCGGCTCGCTGGCCTTTCCTAACAACCCTTTGGTATTTTTTCCAATTATTGTAATTTAATCGAATTTGGATTCGGTTTCGCCAAAGCTTCCAATCTTTTAAATCCTTAACGATCGCTTTACCGGTAACCTTTCGGTAAGCTTTTTAAATGTCGCGGGTTTATCGGGCCCTTTTACGCTTGCAACCTTTTAAAGCTTCCGCAAACGTTTTACCGGTAACCCCCCGGCGGGCTTTAACCGCCGCGGCAAAAAAACCTCCGCCGAAAAAAAGCGTAAAGCGCGCAACGAACGCCGCCGTAACGTTTTTAATTCCAATAAACCTGCCCCCAAAACGGACATTGCTTTTTTTTCGCTTTATATAAGTATCCGCAACGCGCTCCCGTTGCGGGAAGTTATCGATTTCCAATAAAGCAATAATTAGGACTTTATTTATTTGCCTTTTTTTAAAAACAATTATACGGAACGTGCGATGTTTTGTAACCGCTATTTTGGTTATTAAGCATATTAAAACTATACCGTTAACCCCCGTATGCCGATATGCTTCGATAATTGTACGGGGTCCTTTAAATATATTTATTGCAAAAACGTAATCGGTAACAAGGTTTGCGTTAAGCTTTTCGAATGGTTTTGGAAAATGGCCCAAAACCTTTACAAAATTTTAAATACCGTTTATAAGCAATTGCTTAAAACAATACCAAAGCTTTTCGAAAAGCTTACCAAAGCCCAATTTCGCGCCCGCAAAGTTATTTAAAAAGCCAAATCCTTCCATACTATGTCGGCCGAGCAATTTGCGCGCTACAAACGTTAAACCGTTATTTAAAAGCGCATTTAATGCAAAATTGCTAGCGCTGCAACATTAAAAGCTATTTAAAACATTTTTTAATAATTTTACGCTATCGCCGTTTAAACGAAAAGGCAGGTTTAAGCTTTAGCTAGCATCGGTAACTTTTTTAACAAGGTAAAAGCGTTTTTTAAGCGTTTCGAAAAAGGTATAATTGCTTTTTTTGGTAGTATTGCCGTTAATTTTGCTACGATTGCGGCGCATTCGGATACCCAAATTTACAACCGCGCGGTTTCCCGTAAAAGTGCGGCGTCCGTATTGGCGCCGGGAAGTACCGCCTTCGGCGCTAACAATTTTAGCGGTAACGATTGTAACGTTAGCAAAAAAAACGTAGTTTTTAAAGGTTTTGGTTTTTTTAAATACGGCATTTAATCGATTTTTTTTACATATTTTCCTAATTAATTATTGGTATCCTTTTTTTAAAAAGTAATTAATTTTAAATCTTTTTCGTTAATTTGTTACAATTAAAACCATAATTTCCTTTTGTTATATTGCTTTTGCAATATTGCGAAATCCCGGTATCCATATTTACTAGCTAAGCTTTAATGCTTTAATAAATAATTTTAAAATGCTTTTTTTTTGCCCCTTTAATGGGTTTAAATACCGCCGATATGCATTTGCCGCTATTCGAACGTTTAAGCCCGTTCGCTATGCCATTCGAAAATTTTTCCATTTCTTTTTTGGGCAAGCAATAATGTTTTTTATTACAACGTACGTTTAAAGTACGGTAATTGCTTTAGCGTATCGCGCTAAGCATGCTTTTTACGGGCTTTCCAAAATATGTTATATTTTATATGTCCTTCGGAATTTAAATATATTGCATTATTAATTTAAAACGTTTTTTGTATTATACCGTCCTTATTTAACTTTTTGTTTATAAAGCACGATATTTTACGGTTATTACAAACCGTTTATAAATTTTTTACGTTTTTTCCCGGTGGCTAACCGGTTTGGTACGTTTAAAACATTTTTTTGGGCCATTCCTTTGGCTTTTATTACTTTTTTCCTGTAATACCCCCGTCCTTTCCGGGTATTTACCCGTTAAAGTTCGGTATTTTCCTTATCTTATAAGCTTATTTACAATAAGTTTGCTTTATACGCTTAAATAATTTTTTTCGTAATATCCTTTTTTAAAATTTACAAATTTTCCGATTCGTTATAATTTATCCATTTAACCAAATATTTTCGTTTCCGCAAAAGCTTTTTATATTCCAACAAAGCCTTTACTTCGAAACGATCCTTTTTTTTTTTCGATTTTTGGTTTTTTATTTTTTGGTTTTTCGCTGGGCCTTTTTTTAAACGCCCGCAATAAATTTGCCGGGAATACGTTATATATCCGGTAATTTACCAAAAGCTTTAACCGAAACGCTAAACCGGCTAACCCAACCATTTT